ATGCTCTGTGTTGTAGAACTCCAGGCGACTTCCTCTGGAGAGGACCTAGGAGACAAAATAGATTTTCCCTAGATGGCTTTTCCACTTATTCATTCTCAGACATCTACTCTGTAAGGGCCTAAGTCATCATCCCTACCTCTGGGGCTTTTGCAATATGGCAGGAGCCTTGGGATATCCCAAGTAGCAAAAGCAAGTGTGATAAATACAAGGACAGGAAAACCTTTGCAAGAAGGCTAAGAAGAGGGAAGGCCAAGCCCAGCATTCTCAGGACGGTGGCGATGGGGGAAGGCCCTATCGGACATAGCAGTCCAGGGCCATTGGCCAGCTGGCTTCAGAAATTCAGTTTCAAGGAAGACATTGGTTTACCTGACTTCAGTCATGTGCCCAACATTGACTAACTCATGTAACCTGTGGAATAGACTGCTCTGACTGGTCAGACCTGAATCTTCTATTCATCCCTTAGGGGTAAAAAGTTAACTCCACCTGAAATGAAATGAATATCCCCATAAGAAAAATGTTTTATTCCTAGAAGGGATATGGGAGCAGTATTATGCAAGCAAAGCCAAAGCAACACCACAGTTTGTTTTCACAAACTTCTGATGTTGCTCCAAACCAGCAGAAGGAATTCTTCCTACTACCTATATAAGCCTTCCTACAGAAAGAGTATTACCTTAGGAGGGTGTGGCCAGCATGTGGTACTAGAAGGAGTGATGCTGGGTGGACCAACTGGCAACTGCTTGCTAGGAGCTCACTGGCCCTGGAAAGTGGCCCAGAACCTTGCATACCACCATACTACAATCTAAAATTGGAGGTAGGGGCAGCAGGGGCATATTGTGATTAAGACCAGATCTCACCTGTTTGTATCCTTGGAAGTCTGATTCATTTTAAACCCCTCCACTTTTAGACAACTATGTTTTTCATGGAAGATTTCCCATCCCAGCGTGGAGACTCCAGGATAGGAAACAATAGCCAGGTGGATGAAACCATGCACCACAAAGAGGGTTTTTCTCTGTCTTCCTTTCACATGCTTGCCAACCACCACCATCGCCATCACCAAGTGAAAACAGCAGTTTCAGGGTGTTGATGAAAATTATCAGTCCCTAAGTACTTCAGTACAGAAAAAGCAAAAGCTCTTTTCCATCGTGGTTGACCATGAGTTACCATGATACCATAATTTCCTTTAATTCTCCGGAGAAAATAATTAGCAAAGTACATGACTGGGGCTGGGTTATGCATTTTGGTTTTTGATTCCACAGAATCTATCTATCCTATCCCCAGGTTTAAGTGGCTGATGAAATCATAACCTTTCCTCCAAATATCAGTTTTCTTTGCCACATGCACTAAGCCATGTCATTGCCATGCCCCATTGACAATGACATGCCCTGGTCACACATCAATGGTGAAGTGTGACATGGCATCTCCTGCTCACTAGTGTTTTAAGTGAAAGCTCAAGTGAATAAAACTCTTGGAAAGAGAGTTATTGCTTTCTTGGGGGAGACAGAATGTTAACCTTTAGAACCCTGCGTCATTCAAGCCACTGGACAAATTAACACCAGGGTGGAGGACATTTTACTAGCCAAATTCCATTGAGCTTTGTTTCTTTAGGAACTGACACTTCTCCCAGAAGCTTCCAAGTCATCCTATCTGGAATTTTTAATTTTTTGTCCTAAATCCAGAAAAACAGATTCTTAAGAGCTTATATGACAAGGATCCATCAAACATGGGATTGACAACAACAACAAAATGCATATAAATGTCTACTGCCTCTCTTTGTTGCTCCCAATTAGAAGAAAACCCCATTGGGCGTGCTCAAACTTGGATTTATCTCCCCATCCAGTGTGGTGCTAAGCAATGTGTGTGGAATGTATGGCACTGCAGACCATCAGTCATGCTTTGGAAATGGATTCAGTGAAGATGAAGCCAAGCATATGAGCAGGTAGATTATAGGACTATTAGCACTTTTGGAGAGAAAGGCACAGCAGGGACAAGAACCTGGGGTTAACTAGGTGGTCTCTAAGAGACCACACAGGATCATGATGGGATAGAAAAATTATGGATTTTGGCTTTATGAGTTAAACTCATCTTTGCCACTTACATTATGATCTTCAGCAAGTCACTGAAACACTGAACCTTGGTGTTAAAATCTATAAAATGGGGATATGTAGGCTTTACAGGGTAGTTACAAGAATCAAAGATTTCATATATTGTACCCAGCACAATACTTAATAGTGTGCTGGATGCAAGTCACATTGATGATCAAAAATGTGCTATTCGCTTAAAGTATGTTTGTTGGGATCAACAGATGGCATAATGGTTACATCACTGGACTCCCATGTTGTCGACCACAGTTCAATTCCCAGACCCAGTGGCTTATCACACCAGGCGCATGTGCGCACATGCCCAAGATCCTGAGAGGAGAATGGAGAAGGGATTGTGACATGGCCATGGCCATCCCCCCTGGGGGGTGATTTCTCATTTTCTATCTCTCTGTCTCTCTAGCAAGCTCACATGCCATATAGCAAAAATCTCTCTCTTTCAAAAAAAAGTGTGTTTGTTTGATAAGGGCAAGGAAAGGACTAACTGGGAAGATGATCTTTATTCTAAAAAGAAGTCAACCTAAAGTGCTTTATTTGAGGTCTCTTGCTGCTTCTTTAAAACTGAGTAAGATCAAGTTCTGGAGGCTTAGCACAAAGCAGCTGGGAGGGTACCCAGAGTAAGCCAGGATTCAGAGGTAACAGAGGGCCTCATTCAGTGAAAGGAGCCAGGATGAAATGGGTGCAGGGAAGTTGAAATCCTTGAGTGATGGCTATAGTAAGTATTTATATGTAAAGTATATGCAAATACCCCTAGGTTTCAGACAACACATTCTCTTTCTTCTTCCTCATTTCCTGAGGTCTCTGATCATTCAGCTATCTTCACTGATTTGCCTTGACATGCTAGACCTGGGAACCATAATCTGTGAGAGAGACAGATGGAAAGCCCCTCTTGACACAGTTATGAATCATTGCAAATAGGCTAAGTATGGGTAACAAGGTCAGGTATAAGGTAGCTCCCTTTTCCCACACACTCTCCCAGCCTTGAAGCCCAGAAGCCAGGCCACCCCGTTCCTCTATAATAGATAGCAGTCCTTATTATATTTTGGGTTCCTTGAGGGACTGCCTTGTGCCAAGAGCTCTACCCACTGACTCACTGAGATCTATAGCACTTTAAATCAGGTGACGTCCTTGCCCACATTTTAAAAATGAGGGAACAGAGTCTTAAGAGCTTATGTGACAAGGTCCCATCAAACACGAGGTTGACACCAGATCAGCCACATTATTCTGTGGCCCAAGACTTGTCCTTTCAACTCTCAAGCCTGGCCATTGATGAAAGCAATCAAATAGGAAGAGCTATTCCAAAAAAGTTTAAGACTTGATACACACTTGTTGTTTCCTTAGACCCATACATGTCCAGCTATAAAACAAATATTTCCCCAAAAATTACCCACCAGAAAGAATCATATCTTAATCTGTCAGTCACATCTTTTGACTATCACAGTCTAGCTAAGAGGAACTTTTAAACCTCTATCCGTGCTAGTTGGGGACACTCGTCATGGTCTACTGACACAATTAGGATTTTTTAAAAAACACAAGCACTCCTTTAAAAAGAAGCTTGAGGTCTCTCGAAAAGGGTTTTAATAAACAAAGAATGGGAAATGAAAGGTATAGGAGTAGGATGTCTCAGTGCAGAGTCAACAACTGGATACACTACTCATCTCAAATGGTACAAGGGTGATGGTGTGCTGTGGTGTGGTGTCTTCTTCTGTTTTCAATGAGATGATCATGTCTACTGATAACTTATGAGAAGGAACCAGGCTGATGAGAAGAAATAGGTTAGAAAACAATGGATAAGTAATAAGAACATTTTCTGTTCCCTGGGAGGAGGGGAGCCTTGCCCATCAACTGGTTGGTACCTTAAATAAGTCCATTGTCACCTTGGAGCCTTCCCAGAGTTGGGAGCAAAGATAGACGGCAGTGGAAATGATACTAGAGAAAAGTCTGAACAGGATACCAACGTGAGCCAAGGCCACACCACAGTGTACAGTTTGTTCTGAAGAATGTGGAAGGCTTTCCTGACTTTCTCATAGTGTTCAACCTATGTCACTATGCACACGATTCAAGACCTCTCCAAAGTCTTGGCACTGCAAACTCCAGTTACATGCTCTTTTTCTGGCTAGATGCACTAAAAATAGCTATTTCCTGAGCTCTCCACTTGCCATGACCCTCTCTGCTGGGGTCTGTCGTGTTATACACAATGGCACTAGGGTTTATGACTCCATGGCCTCTGACAAAAATATCTACTTTGCAAAATTAGGCATTAATTGAAGTCTGAGCTTGCTATTATAGGGAGCTTTATGGAATTGAAAGTGTTGTATAAGATCTCTGCTTTGTTGTCTCTTTCTCTCCCTCTTTCTCTCCCTCCCTCTCCTTTTCTCTCTCTCTCTCTCTCTCTCTCTCTCTCTCTCTCTCTCTCTCTCCCCCCCGCTCTGTCTCACTGTCTCACTGTCTCTCCATTTCTTCTGTATATTAGTCATCATTATTCTCTGGAGCCTGCCCTAGTTTGCATTTTCTCACCGGAATTGTGTGGGCTGTTGTTAAAGAGAGCAAGCTTCCCCTTCTCTGCAGCCAGCCAGCCCACTCCTTTCTGCTTGAATCAGGTCTGATCCCGCTGCCAGGTCTCATCTCCTGAGAGGCTACACACGCCATGGGCCCCAGATAGCAGAATTAAAGAAGAATGAGCTACAAATATGTGTTTTACTATGAGCTGAGCCAGGAGAGGATGCTAGCTGCTAATACTCTAGGATTCCACTGGCCAACTCCCATCGAGTCAGCCAAGACACTGGGTGCGATTTTTCTGAACATGGAACATAGCTCCCCTTACCCCAAAAGCCCTATACCATTGGAAGCAAAACATTAAAAACACTTGCAGGAGATGAAAGTGCTGTGTTGCTTCTGTTTCAGGTGCTAAACCTGCCCCTGGGATCTGCTTTGAGAGAGTCAACTCTGCAGGTGATCCCTACGGCAACTGTGGCAAAGACTCCAAGAGTTCCTTTGCCAAATGCGAAAGAAGGTATGCGGTCCGTACATCCTGACAGTGTCATCACTTTGACCTTCTCACATCGCTTGGGGCTGGTTCCAAACCGTTTCTGTTTGGGGATTGTTTGTTCTTACCCTTCCAGGGATGCTAAATGCGGAAAAATCCAGTGTCAAGGAGGTGCCAGCCGTCCAGTGATTGGTACCAATGCTGTTTCCATAGAAACAAATATCCCACTGCAGGAAGGAGGCCGGATTCTGTGCCGGGGGACCCATGTGTACTTGGGTGATGACATGCCGGACCCAGGGCTTGTGCTTGCAGGCACAAAGTGTGCTGATGGAAAAGTAAGGCTCAAAAGCTCACTTGCATCATAAATGTAAGTCTGGAACACAGCCCACTGAGAAAACGTCCTAGGCAAGAACTGGGCTGTGAGGTTTGTTTGTTTTTTCCTCAATCTGCTTCTCAGCACATTGTCTCTGGTTCCAGTTCTTTGCACCTAGAAGAAAAAGCCAATAAAGCCTTAGTCCAGATCTGACTATTGATATACAGACTGGGGAAAATCGGGCTTGTCTTCTTGGCTCTTTAGTGTTAATAAGTCATTTCTGCACTCTGGGTGTCATGAGGGTTTCCAGCCAGGAAATTACTTAGGAAAGAAACGTAATAGCACATTATATTGCTTTTGGAAATGCAGCTTGGTTTTTGGCACAGAGTTCTTGGGGACTTGTTCTCACCTGGGCAGAATGGGAAGTCAGATGTATTTTCAGAGACCCAGTAGAGAGAAATTGAAAGCCAGAGGAATTTTTTTCAGAGTATGGGAGAAAAAGGTAAATAGAGATATTTCGAGGCTTAGAAATAAAGCCTAAAATTTTTAAAAGACAAAAAGAAAGAATCTGAGATTTTTACATTCTGCCACATGATTTTTTCCATTAAACTTTCTCATCAGAATAAATGATAGCAAGTCAATAAAATTGTTTAGGCAAAAAGATGAATCAACCCCTATGTACTTTTTAGAAATGCCATTGTCATGAAATCACTACCAACATAGAGGTCACAGAGAAGAAAAAGATAGATACAGATTCAGTTCTCCTTAGCAGAATCCCAAGTGTGGGAATGCCCTCTATTCACCCTTTCTTCCCCTATACACCCTGAGTCACAGATGCTTTTTCCTTGAGGAAATATGATGGTACACAAAAATATGTATATGTGGGATGCCTCCTTAATCACATTATTGTATGTTCAGCTTTTGACATTAGAATGACACTGGGTTTTTTTAAAAAAATATATATTGTAGTCTGAACAGATGGAACCAGGTGCATCTGAACACTGAAATTCCAAAGACTCAGTTATCACTGACTGTTTTCTACACATGCAAGATGAAGTGTTCTTTGATTTCTGTTTCCACCCAACATTGGTTCTTTGAAGGCCATCTTTATCTTTGTCCATGGGTTCAGGGAGAAAGCTGTACTGTGAGGCTCACTGGGGTCCTACTATGTTCATTGTAGTCCTGGATAACTTCTATCCACTGGAATGTGACAGTCCATTTCTCCAGGATTCCTATCAAGCCTTCAAAGCCATTTGGGCTGGCAACTTTTTCAAAGGATGTTGGGGTCAGGTAGTGACCTTCCCCGTAGGAAGATTCTACTACATTCCAAACATTAGATTCCTCTGCAATCTAAACATTATATTCTTCTTCCTTTGATGCCACTAATTTGTAACATCTTATGAGCAATACAGCGCCTGATCCCTTGGGTCTGGAGTATATTACATACCTCTGAAATGGAGATAAACCAGTCTAGTATCATTTAGCAAATTTCTGCCACTGCAATAGCTTGATAAATGCAAGGGAGCTGTCTGTTTCCCTTTGCAGAGCATTTCTGTTGATGGTTTATGTCATCAATGATATTACTTGTCAGTATTTTGAGAAATTTCCCAATTTGTAATATCACCCTTAAAAGATGTTTTAGACTCTGGATTCTTAGAGTCTTTGAGTCAACACAGGCCCTGGAATAATGACTAATTCATCTCACCCTCACTTGTGTATCTTTTTTTTTTTTTTTTTAAGGTTTTTGCCATAGTGCATGTGTGCTCACCAGAGAAGGAAAGTGAGAAATCACCCTCAGGGGATGGCCACTCTGCAGTCCCTCCTTCTCTGTTCTCCTCTCAGGATTTTTGGCATGCACGCACATGCATCTGACATGATTTTCAAGCCACCAGGTCTAGGACTCAAACTGCAGTCGACCATGTGGGAGTCCAGCAACTTAACCACCATGCCACATGTTGACCCCTCTCTTATGTCTTTTAATAGAGGGGAAAAAATGCTGCAATACATAGATTTTACTGCAAACTCAAAACAAAATTCATGAGAAAATCAGTTCTAATTATAGGATCAACTGAAACCATATAAAATGCAGTAAACTATTCAATAAAAGAATTCAATAGTGCTCATATTGAACTTAATCTTACAAAGTGCTGAGTTTGGAGTAAGTCAACAAGATCCACGTCTGAGTCAAATGAAAATGCATCCTTATCCTTCCTCTTATTCCCTTAAAGAAGATGTTTACAGAATCTTTCCCAAGTTTTCCTTTACTTTCTCAGTACACACATGCATGTGTGGTGTGGTGTTACAGAAGTACCAAGATATTTTCTGTATTCTCCTTCTCCTACAGATCTGTCTCAATCGTCGATGTCAAAATATTAGTGTCTTTGGTGTTCATGAATGTGCAATGCAGTGCCATGGCAGAGGGGTAAGTGGACTGAACTGCCTTTTTCTGGCCAGCCCATAACAAGTTCAGCAATAAATCATTGATTTGTAAAGGATTTTATAATCGTAGCTTTTAAAGATATAACAGTGTCTTCTCAATATTTTCTTCTAAAGACATTTATTTTCTTTGACTTTTACATAGTTGAAGAAATATGATATTTTGTCTAACAAAGAAACAGATTAAGCCATAATTATCTTTTAAATTAATATTTTGTGATTTAAGAAAAAGAATTTTGTCACTCTGAAAGTAATATTACACATTAACATTTCAGACAGCATGGTACCTCTCACTACCAGCATTCTGAATATGTTTCTGGGGGCCAGGTTCACGGCCTGGTGGTTAAGCAGCCAGATCCCACTTGGTCAACTGCACAGTTCAAGTCCTGGACCCAGCAGTTTGAGAAACTTGCCAGGCTTGTGTGTGCCTACCCCAAATCCTGAAAGGTGGAAAAATAGAGGAGAAGGGATTGCAATATGGCCTTCTCCACGGAGAGTGTGGAGAAATTCTTTCTTCTCTCCCTCACTCTATCTCTCTGGTGAGTACACATGCCCTCTAGCAATAAAAAAGAAAAAGTGTCTGAACTGAAATACTTCCAAATGGTACTAAAACAAAGACAATAGATCATAGTAAACACATGCTCTTGATATCACATAAAATGAATTTCAACTAAAGAAGCTGTTGTTTTAGTTTAGAGAATCTTTAGGGGAGAAAAGGACTCTATTTGTTTAAAATATAATTTACTTTTCCTGATGGGCTTAATTATTTTGAATGGAGTCATATTAATCTTGATTAGCCATGCCAGTGGTTCATTTGTTTTTCTGAAACCTTTTCTACAGAAATCATGCCTCAAATTCTATTTTTAAAACTTGCAGATACTTGCTAATGATTCTAACATGAAATTATGAGGTTTCATAAAATTACTGTTATGCTGGGACCATAAGGGACCACAGTACTACTTCAGATAGATTTGATGATTGTGAGTTTAGCTGACTCTCAACATAAATTGAACCTTTATTTTTAAGTTTACTTCTTTCTCTCATGAGAAAGAAAGAGAGAGAGACCTCTGACAGAGTCTCATCATATCATAGTCCTCCCACCAGCCACCCAGCCATTCAGTGATCATATGTTCAGGTTAACCCAGGATCTAGACCTAGGCCTCCCAAGTGGCTTCAATGTTGTACAGCAGTACCCTACCACCTGTACCACCATGGCTGGGCCTAAAATACAATCTGTTAGATCTTCATTGATTCAAAGATTTCTTTCTAATGACTCAAGGAAAGTGTCAAGTCTACCCCTATTATTTTACTGATGAAGAAGCCACTAGGTGGGGGGAAACGGTGTGTTCAAGATATCCTAACAAGTCAGCAGTAAGCTGAGTTGAAGATCCTAAACTCCTCACTTTCCAATATGCCTGGGACCTCGTTCATCACACATCACAGAGGAAAGGCCCACACGTTCTAGATGAATGGAGCAACTACTGTGACTGGTGACAAGTAGCTTGACCATGTTACCTCCCTAATGAGAACAGGCTTGCCACTAGCATCTCTAAGCAAAGCATTAGGGCTGCAATTTATCTGCCATAGACTGCAGAAAGGACACAGGACTGTACGTTGCAGCAGACCTGGTAGGATAGCACATGAATCTTAAGGATGGTATATTAGCATCTTAGAGAAAATGGGCAAGACACTCAGATTTGGCACAGGCTGTGTCACATGCTAATAAAATTTGCTTATTTTTCAGTTCGCAGAAATATATTTCTGGGGCCAGCAGATAGCATAGTGATTATGTTGCTGGATTCCCACATGGTCAATTGTGGTTCAAAACCTGGACCTGGTGGCTTCAAACTCACTCTGGGCACATGTGTGCGCATGCCCAAGATCCCAGGAAGGGAATGAAGGAGAAGGGATTGTGGTGTGTAGGGGTTGTTTCTCACTTTCTCTCTCTGGCGAGCACACCTGCCCAAAAGCACAAAATCTCACACTCAAAGAAAAAAAAAATGTATTTTTGTTTTATCACAGGCTTTCTTGACTGTTGGCCTTCTTATTTGAAGCTGAAGCAGATAGTTAATTCATCAAAACTAGTCAGTTCAAACACAGAACCATTAATAGTGAGACATATTCTCAAAATACTTTATTTTACCATAAAATAATAAAGTGTATGTTTGGCATCTATATATATATATTTTTTGGAGATATTTTTGCTACAGGGCACATGCGCTCGTCAGACAGAGAGAGAGACAGAGAGACAGAAAGCAAGAAATCACCCCCAAGGGAGATGGCCATGCCATAATCCCTTCTCCTCCATTCTCCTCTTGGGATCTTGGGCACGCACGCACACACGTCCAGCGTGAGTTTAAGTCACTGGGTCTGGGACTAAAACCGCAGTTGACTACATGGGAGTCCAGCGACGTAGCCATTATGCTAACTGCTGGTCCCAGGGCTGAAGTCATTAGGATTGGCATACTGACTATAGTTCTGCCGTGATTTCGTTACATAAATCACCCCAAAATACATCATCTCCAATTTTTAGTTTGTTTCTTTAAGATTGACTTCAATCTGAGTACTGATTTTTTTTTGCCCTTGTAGCTTTTTCCAATCATTCTGCACCCATTCATAATTTGTCAGAAATTATTTCTTAGTGACTTGTGTTTATCCAGTGTTCTCAAAAGATTCAACCTATTCATAATTTTTATAGAGACAGTAAAATGTTTTCATAAAGCAAAATGCTATCTTCATGCTTCTATTCCACTGGTTCACATGCTAGTTTACTATATTGCATATGTAACAATAACAAGTCCAACTGGCATAGTCAAAGTGAAGAACAGCCCATCAATGATGCTTGGTAAGCAGGGGAGCAGGAGCTCTGTGGCCCCTCCATGGAGTCTGCGAGTCAGGTTACTTGTTCTAGGCTCCGCAAGAGCAAAGTTCACCCCTGTCTTGGTTCCTTACCAACCCTTTCTGACTATGCCAGAACCATCTTCTTATTTCACTAGAGTTCATTGTTGGCTTTGCCACTGTGCAGAACTGGGAGACAGGGAATGGCTGCTGAGAAACTGCAAGAAAGTGGGCATTTCAGGAATAAGACATGGAGCAAGCTTAGAGGAAGTGTTCATGGAAGCCCTGTCCCCTTAATAAGCATCAAAAAGTTGGAGGCCTTGCTGTGGACTTGCCTAGCCGTCCATTCTGCTGTGAGACTCAGAGCACCAACTGCTCTGAGCCTCTAGTCTTAAGGAACCAGGGATGACAACCAAGAGGTCGTGAGATCCCCAGGTGCGCACTGCGAGGCCCCAGGGATCTGATTCTTCATCCCTGAAGTACAGTCCCTCCCCACTGCTAAGTAGGGCTACTCATCATAGTCAGAGAATGTGGATTTCCTGGATTTGAAAAGCACAAGCACAGGAAGATTGAGAAGAGGAAGGGGTAGAGGAGCAGGGGAGCCCTAAGAATATCCATCACTCTCGTAACAGCTATGAGCCAGCAGAATGTACTTAGAACTTCATGCTCAGGTTTCACCTATGTGGTACTGTGTTTGGGGCTCACTGTCTTGGTGCCATTTACTGAGTCTAGCTATATGAGTGCTGGTGGGGCGACTGGCCCCAGTGTCCTTGCTTGCCCAAAGACTTTACACTGCCCCACAGCAGGGGTGCTCTAACTCTGCTTCCCTCCTGATGTCTTCTTCCTTGCTCCCCTGCAGGTATGCAACAACAGGAAGAACTGCCACTGCGAGGCCCACTGGGCACCTCCCTTCTGTGACAAATTTGGCTTTGGAGGAAGCACAGACAGTGGTCCCATCCGACAAGCAGGTCAGTAAGACCCCTGCACCCCTGTGGGTAGACGCTGAGTTACTGGAGGCAGCAAGCAGCCAGATGGGCTTGCCAGCCATTAGCATGGGTGCAGGTGCAGCCCCACCAGCAGGAAACAGTAGAGGTGGGGACCCTGTGTGGGCCTGATACAGCCTGAAGTCTCTTACAGTTTCCAAACATTCTCTCACCCCTGCCTGATCTTTTCTGAGCTCTTCGCTTTCGGCTGACTGAGTGGCTAGGTTTGCCAGTTGCATAGCCTGTGACACTTTTCTTAGTTAAGACAATTTTTATGTCAGACTGCCAGATATGTACAAATTACATCACTGTTTAAAAGGACTCTGTGCTGGGGCCAAGAGGTGTGACATTTAATGCTGTTCAAAGCTTCCTAGAAAGATGCCCACCTCTTAACAGCCATGGCGGCGGCAGCAACCCCAAGAACAGCCTCTGCGTGTCGAACAGTCATTTGCAGGCACTGTGCTAAGCATTTTATCTACATGTCCTCTGTTCCTTACACAACCCTGAAGTAGATATTGTTCTTTCTTCACATATGAAGAACTGATGCTCAGGGAAGTGGTGTTACTTGCTATAATCACAAGTCTAAGATTGAGACACAACTCAGTCCCCAAAGAAGCTCTGACTAGCTGTGCTTGAACCCTAGTTCATGTCTCCTCCAATGACCTTTAGAGACAGTCTTCTAATGCAGTGCTGCTTTCTCTGAGTTCTTGTCAGGCCGCTAAAGGGCAAATCTGAATGGTGTCCCTTCTAAAACAGAAGAAATAAGGTAAAGAGCTGCAGAAAGCCAATAGGGAGCACAGGTGCAGAGCCAAGAGCAGGTGGGAATTGCCCAGTACACTTGCATTGCTTCCTTGCCACTCCTCTGAGCCCCCACAACACTTAGACCATGACCAATGCGGCTGGAGAGATCACACATCCCGAAGGCCTGCTATAGCTGGCAGTGTTGAATCTGTGGCCTCACTGTCATTTCCATGACAACAGACACAACACTGCTCTACAGGGCCAAGGAGAGTGCTCCGAGCTCTAGGGAAAGCCTTGTGACCGGGCACATCTGCAGAAACAGCCCAAGGAAGGCCGGGAAGTTCCTGCTCTTTCTTCTGCCTAAATATGAATATGTTTCAGCGTTGCTCCCGAGCAGGCTTCAGGTGCCCATTCTTTTAGTCCTGCTTCTGCAGCAAGCAGGGAAAGGAACCAGAAGTCTTGCCTTTTACTGAGCATGCATCACAGTGGTGGGAAGCAAGGAGTGTGCCCAGCCTCCTCTTTCCTCAGTGATATCTCAGCCTTGAAGACTCGTCTTTTACTGCAACTTAATACTCTAATATGATTTGGGGCCAGCAGGTGGCATAGTGCTTAAGGCACTGGACTCTCACTTGCAATGGACTGCAGTTTAAGTCCCAGTTCCAGCAGCTTGAAACTTATGCTGGGCATGTGTGCGTGTGTGCCCAAAATCCCAAGAGGAGAAGGAATAAGAAGGGATGGCAGTGTGGCCATGCCCTCGGGGGGATGATTTATTGCTTGCTCTTTCTCTATATCTCTCTGTTGATCACATGCACCCTACAGCAAAAATCTCTTTAAAAATAAAACAACAACAGAAAACACTCTAATATGGCTTTAAGCATTTATTGTACAAAACTAGTAGCTCTTCAGTTTTGAAGCCATCAGAACCCTGTTACCCATTCCATCTCCATTCAAGTAAATCCACTGGTGTTCAAAGGAACTGGAGCAGCTGGCAAGAGAATGGCAGTATGCTCTGTGTCTCTCTTCGAGTGGACATACATGGTCAGTACTCAGGTTTCAGGGTTTCGAAAAAGTGAGAACCCACAGAATCACTGACTTCATTATATCTAATGAGTATATGAAAACAGCCAAGGGGCCTAACTCCGTGACTATTGCCATCATTTCTTAAGATAGTATGTTTTAGGGACCAGCAGTTAGTGTAATGGCTATGTCGCTGGACTCGCATGTAGTCGACTGCAGTTTGAGTCCCGGACCCGGTGGCTTAAACTCACGCCAGGCACATGTGTATGCGTGCCCAAGATCCCAAGAGGAGAATGGAAGAGAAGGGATTGCAGCATGGCCATCCCCCCGGGGGGTTATTTCTTGCTTTCTGTCTCTCTGTCTCTGTCTTTCTGGCAAATGCATGCACCCTATAGCAAAAACCTCTCAAAAAAAAAAAAAGTATGTTTTAAACACCTCCCCCAAATACTTATACAAAAAACAGACAGTGGGACCAGCAGTTAGCGTAATGGCTATGTCGTTGGACTCCCATGTAGTCGAGTGATGTTTGAGTCCCGGACCCAGCGTCTTAAACTCACGCCAGGTGCATGTGCATGCATGCCCAAGATCCAGAGAGAATAGAGGGGAAGGGATTGAGGCGTTGCCACCCCCCCTGGGGGTGATTTCTTACTTTCTGTCTCTCTGTCTCTCTCTGTCTTTCTGGTGAGCGCACATGCCCTATAGTGAAAACCTTTGGGGGGAGGGGGAAACAGGCAGGCATGAGGAGATGTTTCCGGGGTTTCTCTGTCCCCATGGCCCACTGCTCATTTTCCTGACCAGCTCAGTCACTCTTCTGGGTCCTGGACGTACAGTAAGTAAGTACAGTGTGGCATGGTTAGTGCTGCAGTGGGGAAAGAGATGGTGCTATGGGAGGGGAAGTAGCACCCCCCTCCAATTCAGAAGCCGAAGGATATCAGGAAGCTCTTGTGGAAGACTTAGCATATCTGTTAAGATCTGAAAGGGACGGAAGGAAGGAAGACATAGGTTTGAAGCAGTGATAACTGGCTGTGCTGGGGGAAGTCTAGGCTGGGGGCCTGGAGCAGGGGTAATAGTGGGCCAACAAGAATGTAGGAAGTCGATGGGACATCAGTGCTTGTGCTGGACATGGGGGTGAAGGACACAGAGCCACAATACTATCCATGTCTCCAGCTCAAAACACTCCATGGATGGTGTTGCTGCTCCTGAACACAGCCAACTGCGGGTTGGCCAACAAGTTGAGTTTGAGGCCTCATAAATGCTCACTTTGATAAATCGATTAAGACTTATGGATTGACATAAGAAATCAAGGAACTAAACATTATAGCCCAAGACTTTTGTTCCTCACTTTTTAATTAGTTTTGTTCTGAAACAACAGAATTCTAGCCAAACCCCTTGTGATTGTTGCTAAAAGTCTGAAAAAAAAATGGCGTTTTAGCCAGGAAACCAGAAGCAATGCTTTACCAGTGACAGTAACAAATGAACCTAGATTCCTAGAGTGTCATACGTTGATGTCTTACTTAGGCTAAGACAGATCCCTGATAGGACTTGTCAGCTGGGGATAAAATCCAGAAACAAGAAGAGAGAGGGTGTGAAAACATTCATTCTCCCCGAGTGGGAGCCAATGCTGCTCTAATCTACAGCCAGCCGAGTGCCAAGGCCGCGATCAGAGGCAGCATGGGAGAGAGCCTGGGTAATTGAAGTCACCTTTGTGGCCATCCCCAGCAGTGTGAAAGGGATATTGCATGCCTACTGTGTGAAGGGTAACCTACCTGTTGCTGGTGGGAAATCAGAGATAGATGAATCAAGATCCATGTTCTCAAGGCATTCATAGTCCAGTTAAAATTGCATGTAAACTTCCTATCAATTCTAGCATTTCCAGTCCTCCTCAGATAGCCCTGGGCCTTGGCTATGGTCAGAAACCAATCTGTTGGTTTGATTTTCCTTTCCTTTCTGCACCCTTAAGGAGTCTTTTAAGCTAAACAAAATGGAATAAAAGCACAAGAAAGGTGATGCTTTCACAGAGAAAATAAGTAGCATCCTCCCAGAGGAAGGAGGTTACCCCCAGAGGCTATTTATTTTTTTAAGTCTCTAACATAGCATAACAAATCTCGTGGGCATTTCTTTTTCTTTTTTTTTTTTTTTTTTTTTTTTTTTTATTTATTTTTTTTAATATGCCGTAATAATATAT